CAGCAGGAAGAACAAGAACAGAATGAGTACAAAAATTAAACTATTCTGTTGCTCCAAGGCTAAAGGTTAGGGAGACAAACTGTGCCTGCCTATTTATGCCTAGCTCATGGCTAAATAGATAGCTTTGATCTCTAGTGGTTTCAGTCCAGCTCTTCTCAGGAGGTTAAAATTCACTTTAAAAGAGGGTTTGGGGGTTTTTTTAGAAAGAAGAAATGTTAAATCTCCCTCCCATTCTCAGGATGATTTTCTCACAACTTATTTTGGGGGCACATGTCATAAGGAAAGGGGCTCAACTACCAGTTCATTGTAGCTTGATGCCAAAACAATTGTAATCTGACTGACAGGCCAGGAACGACAAAATAATTGTTATTGTAAATCTGCCCTTGCATTTGATGTGAGAAAAACACAAGCCCTAGACATCCTGAGAATGCTATAAAATTGTGGCAGCAAAGATCACCACTCAATTTCAATAGTAAAAATGAGAAACAACAGAAGTAAGGCTCACCCTGGGGACACAGCTCTCCAGTTCTGCCTTAGAGACCAAAACACAAATCACAAGGCCAGCTCTTGATTCAGCATCCCGTCAAGGGCCAGCAGCAATGCAAAGGAAGCAACAAGCAAAGTACTACATGGTGGCATACGCCAACCAATCTACATGTGACCATGATGAGTTCTGAACATCCCACACAGTTGTTTTCCCCCAAAGAAATATTATCATTCTCGGCATCTTCAAGAAACAAAGGGGCCATAAACTGTGTAAAAAAAAAGAGAAAAGAAAAAAAAGGAGGCAACGGTGTAGTCATAGAATATAGATTGTCAAACTGCTGGCTAGAGACCTTTGAAGACCTCCTCTGCATGAAGCCCTGCCACTTTGCATGCTTCTGTGTCTCTCCCCTATATTCATCTGAGTATAAAGACTATACATATAGCATCACCTTCGAAGCTGAAGGGGACTTAGGCTAGTCCCCAGCTCACCACTTTTTACTTTTTTCAGTCTGGACCAGCAGGGGAAGTGTTAAGAAGCTCAGAACTGGCAGCCTGTTTACAGGGTTCTCCAGCTACTCTGAGGTTAGCTAAAGGAGCTCTGCCCTTGTTCTTCAGAGGCTTAAGACAAAAACTGGTCAAGCTTAAGTCGTGTTTATACTAACTAGGCCTGACCTAAATGTGCCACCTGCTTGCTTAGAATCAATGCAGGTAAATACCTTGTGTCTCCATTTAGCTTGCCAGGTTGCAGCTAGGACCCAGGAATAACTAATGTAGAGACAACCACGAGGGGATAAATATCTGGTTTTGCACAAGCCCTTCTGCATGCTGGGTCCTGACTGAGTGAGTCCTATGCCGAAATGGGGTCAGATAAGATGCTTTAAATAAAGCTGGTAGTTCTTTCGTTTAGTAATGAATTTTAATGCAGTAATTTAAGGCTTTCACACAATAGACAGTAACTGGATTTAATGGGGACTTTTCTGCCCTTGATATAAGTTGCGTAAGTCCCCATAGCATTAATAGGAATTAAAGTATGAGAAGTGCACTGAGGGGACAAATCGAAAACTAATTAAAGAGCTTTTGTTAAAATATTTTACTTCTGGTTTTGTTCCAAGAACAACTCCCACTTGCGCCTTCACTAAATAATAATTGAGTAGGTGCTATTCCCAGGTCAGACTGCACTTTCCTTCAAGTGTCTACACATCATGCACCCGATTCTATATAGATCATATCAGACCCAACAGGTTCTAGCAAAGCCAATAGGAGACAAATCGCGGCTTTCCTCCCATTCCCACCTCAAACATAAGGGGAAAAATGGCAGTTGGTGGCTAAATATGCAACAACCTGAAAGTCACAGGTATTTTTTTTCCTACTTGTAG